GCTCTGCTTGAATTACAAAGTTATATCACTTAGTTCTGAGAAATTTGACGTATTTCAAAACATATCAAGCTTTTCCGAAGGTTGAAGATTTTCGGAGACGTCTCTGGCGAGCACCCAGTAAATATTCGGAGACGCACTCCCGCACACAGATGCACGGCTTTGGGGAGTCAAACTGGGTATTGTTCGCTGCACACCACACATATAGCCACTAAAACTGTCGCAATTGAATTATTTTCAAGAAAATTTCAAACCTAACTGCAAAATAACAAATTATGGGTTACAACAGCCCCAGCTTTTTTTATACTTGGTTTAGAGTCTAGAGGTACAAAGCATTTTGAGCGGTCAAAACGGCCCAAAAATGTTAAAAAGAACTGTATAATTCTTCTAAGGTAGCGATTTCACAAACGCCTAAATTTTAATAACTAAAGCCAAAATACGGTAGTACCAGGCGCTCGTCAATTTTTGGGCATATTATAGAGTTATTGGTATCATATTAAAGCTTGTTCATTTGTCTTGCTTTTCTCGAGGGAAAAAAAAACACACCAAAAAACCACTCTTCCACATTGAATAGCAATCAAAATAAAAATGTTTACTTCTGAAGGAAGTGGGGGTCGCCTGATTGCTAATCTAGAATAACCAAGTTCTATCGCTTAGTTTTTCCACAACAATATTTTGAGTTTCGCCACATGTCAAGCTTTTTCGAACGGAACTCTTTGAATATTTTGATAACGACTCGTCCGAATAATCTTACCATTCTGAGGGACCTTTTGTTTTCTGACTCATGATCTGAATAGATTCTAGCTCAAAATGGCCAAAAATGTCAGGAAAAAACTTAGTAGTTCTATGGTAGCGATTTCCAAAATGCCTAAATAAGTTATGCGACGATACGGTGCTACCAGGCGATCGTCAATTTTTGGGCATATTGAGTTATTGGTAGGCCTATAATCTTAAAGTTTGTTCAGTAATTGTTTTGCTTTTCTTGAAAAAAGAAATACCTATTCATCTTGAATAGGAGTCGGCGCAGACAATATCTATCTATCTATCTATCTATCTATCTATCTATCTATCTATCTATCTATCTATCTATCTATCTATCTATCTATCTATCTATCTATCT